TCAATAAACACGAGATAAATTGTTTCTGATTTTTATTCTTAGATGTCCAGTGGATAACTTTGTATTCCCTGGGCTGGATAAGGCTCGAGAAGGTGATGGCCTGGAAGCGAGATTTAACGCTTTCAAAATTCCAGAATCTAATTTTTTGGTGTTTGAAGCGACTGTTAGAACATGTCGTGAAGGCTGTCAACCGGTAATAATATTAATAATATTTTAGTTATATTTTCGTCGACGTTATGATCATATTCACATATTATCATAAACTCTATAGGCGTATTGTACATTGCACGCTGGGAGAACGGAACCGTCATTGGGCAGACGTCGTAGAGACGTGAGCGCCATCGATACAAATAAAACGGCAATGGAAAAACCAAAAGAATCAACGGAAACAACACCAAGCGAAGAAGAGAAAGTGCGACAAGTCATAGAGGTACGTTTTAATACAAGCAGAAACCGTTATAAATGTATAACTATTATCTGTAACACTTTATACGCAATGGATCTGTTTTCCAGGTATACGAAAGTCGATACGACATGCCTTTGGAACAACTTTTGACGTCGGAACCGGCACCTCAGAGCGTTTGTTTGACGAGCAGAGAATATTATAGTATGGTATTTTCGCTGTTCATGTTTTTTGTACTCTTGATCACGGTATCTATGTCGGCCGGAATATACTACAAGTAAGCAAATTACACTGGTCTAGATAATAATTTTATAATCATTTGACCAATGCTTAACACGAAAATACATTTTATTTTTATTAAATTAATTTATTGAACTCAATTATTCTTGAAATCAAGACAAAATATTATTAGTCTTTTTTCGCGATTACTTATTAGAATCTATATACGTAATTATTATGTAAATATTATGTATTACGGTAACATATTTTAATATTTAAAAGCATGTTATAACAGCTTTTTTAAAAATTAAAATAAAATATTAACTTTGTAATTTTATAAAAAAAACCTTAGTAAAATATTATCCACATGCATCTTAATTAAAAAAAAAAAAAGTAGATTACGCTTAAATATCTGAAAACTTAGGTATGGTATTCGATCCCTCACTTAGGTGAAGCCTTGAATTTGACTAATGATTTCTCACAAATTCGGTATTAGTTGAAGTTTCTAAGTACAACTCACTAACATGTATCTATAATAGATATTTTTATTTCATACTAAGGCCGAAATTCTAGGATTGCAATTAATAATTGTTTTAACTGAACAATATGTGTACTGTGTTATATTATTGTTATATTTGACATTTATCACAGGCGTTATTGGCTGTTGACGACTAAAAATGAATTAGCAAACAACAGTTGTCTAGGAAGCACGGCCAACTGTAGCAGCGGATCAACGGGGAGGATGTCGTTTTCGGGGCGTAGCTTCTTCTCGAATATGTCATTTGGAAAACGCAAACCGTTCCTAAACATAAGGTTGGTACTTATTATATAGTTACTAATACTGTTTATTGATCGAAATTCGATCATAGAAACGGTTTTTTCTACTAAAATCTATACGTTTTAAAAGTTTTAATTATTGCATTTCTTATTGAACATATTTCGGTATCGGAGTATTTAGTTTTTGAATTATGTATATTATGATCATTTCGACATCTTATGTAAATTTGATTGAATAATAAATAGCAATAAAATATCAATTATTTTTACCATACAAATTGGTTAGAGATTTCTGTTTTTTTTTTTTTTTTTATGCGAAAACCTACTAATTAATATCTTTTTAATGATTTATCTATTTTTTTTCTATCGTGCATGGAAGCGTCATGATGCGTCAGGCAGAGTTAATGTTCCGACAAAAAAGTATTTGTGTCTATAATATATATATATAGAAATAGATGGAAAAATATTTATTTGTATCTTTGCCGGTTATAACGTTTGATATGGACGCAATTTTTTTGTCATGTGATAATACTGAATGTGCCGCTTGATAAAAAAGCACGGTAACTAACTTTTTTAGAAACAAAGCCAAATATTAACGAAAACATTTAAATGAGTTAATGTAATTTTTGACACGTTTTAAGATGTTGCATATTAAGATTATTACTCTGTAATATTTTTTAAACTGCAGCTGTACACATAATTGTGTAGTACACAAAATGTGTGTATATTTAGAAAAATTGCCAATTTGCGACTATCAAGTCATTTAAAATATTATTATTCTTCAGTTTATTAAATTGTATTTTTTGTTATTATTTTTATTCCAAAGAGCTCCGGTGGAATCGATGGAAACGGGATCTGCTAATCCGACGGCAATGGTGGTGGGTGGCGGAAGCGGTAACGGCCGTGGAAAAGGATTTGAGGACCCGAGCGAACCAATTTACACGGACCCGTCGCTTTTCGAGCGATCACGGAGCTTGCGCAGCATCGCATATTCGTCGGCCGGTCAAAACGTATTCAAAAATGAAGCCTTTTGTCACTGATACCGATTCCATTCATTTGATTTAAATAGATTAATGCCTACAAATTATTTACATATATATTATCATAATATGTTATGTTTTTATTCAATGCGTCCAAATCAGATCGTCTACGTCACAAATGTTATACCGGTAATGTGATGAGTATATACCTCCTATTCGACTTTCGTCGAACCTATATCAGAACAGTGAAATATGCGTACAAAAATATATCAAATATTACGATCATATAATAATAATATATTGTATTGTACTTCCTCGCCTATCTAATTGTAATCGAATGTAATTTGTGTGTGTGTGTGTGTGTCGATATTATATTTTATTATCTCTTAAGTTTAAAAATTAATCGCACACGTCGTTTTGCTACTAATACTTAAGTTTATTCATGCAATTTTTATTTTTAGATTTAGATTTTTTTCTCGGTAATAGGTTAGATATATATATATATATAGGTACACAGTTTGAATTAAATTTACGCTGTTCGTTATCACGTTTTTTTAGTTATTGTCTCCATTTTGAAATTGAAGTTTTTATTGTAATTGGATACATATAAAACTCCTTAATTTGAATGTCACGCGTTGAATAAAAATTTACTCTAAACACAATATTGAATTTAAACGATGATAGATTTAACGTCGTGTATCTATATATGTTTATTATAAATTTTTTTTTTTTTTACTTATTTGATAGTTTTCACAATCAATTATTTTTCGTATTATTTTAGTTTTGTTAAGATGGACGTCAAGAGTGCCTCAGTCAAAAGTATATCGTGTGTATACAATATATTTAAATTTGCTGATTGAAAAACTATATTTTACTATACGCAAACATTTTAACTATTTTCATTGGTTCATCGACTGTTTATTTTCTTTAACATATTTAATAACTAATGCTTTTTCTTTACCTGAGTAAACATTATACGATATGCTTATAAACATTTATTAAGATTCATAAATCATTTTATACATTATATATTTAATGTCTGGTAATACACGACTACTCTTCGCTGAGGTATTTATAGATGTTATTACTTATTATGATATTATTTTTTACATAAATATTACCATAATTTATAACTATTATTATTATTATAATTATAATTATAATTATTATTATTATTATTATTATTATTATTATTATTACTATTATTAATACAACTTTATTATAATTGTTTATTCATCATAGGTTATTTATTTTATGAATATTTTAGTTATCCGTCACAGTTATTAAAGTCAATAAAATATAACTTAACAAAAAATATTAATTTGTATTATTGGTTATCAATAGATTTATTGGGACTTGGAGAGTGCTTATAGTTTATTTTATTAACCCCTTTAAGTTGATTAAAGTAGAATCAAAAGTATCAACATGTATTTAATTTTGGCTAACGAATATTGAATATTTTTGTTTATTCAAATTGTTGTCATTGGTTACAGATTATATTAATATCAATATATTTATTGAACATAATTTGATATTTTATAAATCCGTTAAAAATAAAAAAAACAATTCTTAAAATCAAATACTTATGAGTACAAAAATTGTACTTTCTTGATTAACTTTCTCAATTCTAGATATATTTTAGACGTAAACACATAAAAATGAATACTAATCTAAACAGTTTTAAATTTACGTCAGTTTTTAAGCATTCATTGTACTTACTTAGTTTTGTGTTAAAATAAAAAATAGGTGCAAAATTAAATAATGGAAAATATTACATTTATTTTATTATTATTAATAGCTTCTTAGTACTTAATTATAATACATACATTATACATTTATACCATATTATATTAATTTATATAACTCGAAATTATATTCTTCTTTAAATACTATTTAATAGCCAAAACAGATTTATAGTATATTAGTGTAAATAGATAATATATCTTAAATTATGCCCAAAACGTCATTGATTATTGTAAAATTCATAATAATAAAGTATATGTAAAAGATCCATTTGTTTTGTCACAAATTTAAAAATAAATTTATAACTATTTTTCTGGTTTGGAAACATAGTATTTTAGAACAGTAATTTGAAAAATTTTGAAAAAAAAATATATCCAAAATTCCTAGTATTTGAATAGGTTTTTCAAAACTTATCAAGAATAGTATTCAAATAAAAACAATTAAAAATAACGAGTGTTTGAATTTTTTTATTTAAATTAATTTTTTACAAAACTGAACAGGTCGTATTATTTAAAAAAAAAATACTGACAATAATATATTTTCACAAGTCGTTTAGTGATTCCTGTAGTTTTCCTAATTTTTTTTTTATTATTTTACTCAATACTTCTCACAAACAAACATACGATGTATGTAATAGGCGCATCGTCGAGTAGACACGTAATAATATTATTGTAATACGTCACGACTAGTCTGTTTAGATCATCATTAATATTATTATTATTATTGTTATCACATAGCCAGTTTTATCATTATCGTTGTTAAACCTACCTGTCTGCATGTGTGTGTGTGCGTGTGTGTTACACGTTTATAATGTGATATAGCACCTCTGGCAGGTGCCTAGTGAATTGGAGTGTAACAGTGCATAATATTAATAACGGTTAGTGTACGAGTGCAATTACTAAATAAATACTATCACATGACGACGGGCGGCGGCGCTTTCGACCAGACCGCGGGCCGTCAGAAAAAAACGAAACTTCGTCAGATTCGTTGAAACCGGTGTGATAGCCGCCGTACCGCACCATGAACTTGTTGTGCACCTCATAGTGAATGCGACTGTTGTTTTTTTTGACGAAAAAGTGGTGGTTGGTGCCGTGCGACGCCGTGCAATCCACCTTGTCAGAGTACAGATTTATCGTGCCGACGGACGCCGACGACCGGATCTCGAACTTATCGCGTCCGTCCTTGATCACTCTGCGTTAAAGAAATAATAATATTCCCGAAGTCAAATGCGACGAAAGAGATTGAAAGAATAGAAACTTTTGTTCTAAACACTACTATAGGGAGAGGAGGGACATATTTTACTCGTTTCGCGACTAATTTTTTATTTTTACCGTAGTTTTGAAATTTTTAAAAATTTGATAGCATTTATATTCATTTTTTTTTTTTTTTTTTTTTTTTAGTTCACCATTAATTAATCGCGCACTTATTATGAGTAGGTACAAGTGATATTTTTGATTTTCTTCTTTAATCGCGAATCATAATTATTATTAAAATAAAAAAAAAATATAATCAGTTCGTTTTTTATAATATATCAGTCTTATTCTCGCAGTCATATCCTAAATGCGCGACAATGACAAATAGTGAAACTCATACTAGTAAACACTTATAAAATAAAATAGTTAGTCAAAGTATTAATAACTAAATATTAAAATATTTTGATAAAAAATAAAAACAAAAAGTGAAAAGAGATTGTTACTTTTTCTACATACCTGATGAAACCATGAATGTTCTCTTGTATGACCGAAACATCGTACAGTTTCCATTCCGTACCAGTCTCGAGCACTGTGCACTTGATGTCCGACAACAAATCGTTGCACACGTTCATATACATGGCCCCGTGACGACAGTCTTTGTACAGCACATCTAACGTGATGTCTTGGTCTATGCGCATAAAGTTTTCCGAGAAGTTCGTCCTCACACCAGCTTCGTCCACCAAGTACACCAGAGGGCTTTTGATGGCCTTGAAGTGAATGCCTGTAGGCCTTATTTTCGCCAACCTCAATAGAAAGCAATACAACATACGTTAATCACAAAAGGGTATGTTGGCAAATTATATTATAATTATTGTGTATAGGTAAATTAATTAGTTAAACACTACACTTTTACCATTTACCTTCTCATTTCAAGTCATTAGTCAACTACCCAAACTAAAACCTTTGTATAATACGTAAATTAATAAGTTAATTTCAGTGTTCGGAAAAAAACATATTCGTATTTAGCGAACAATACGTAGACGTCACTTGCTTAAATTTAATGAAATGTAAACAAAATTTATTCTTTTAAGGAATTTGAAAGATTTTTAGGTCGCTCAAATGAAATTTTTTACATCATGTTATTGTATACAACATTTTATCTATATGAAGGTATTAATAAATTCATATCTCTCTATTACAAAAAAAGTTTTAAAAAAAAGTATCGTCTAACAATTATTATTATATAAATCAATATTAGAATTCTTCTGTTAATTTTAAGATGGATAAAAAAAGGAATAAAAATTATCAGATAAAGAGCGTTCATTACGAATAAAATAACAACATCAAATACTACAAAAAAACCCTGAAAAAATAATTTTTTACAAACTTAAAAAAGAATCATGTCAAGTAATCACAAGATCAAAAATTAGAGAAAAAACAAATAGATAAACCGGGATACTTAAAAGTTAGTTAAGTTATAGAAAAATGTTAATATTTTAATGCATAGTTTAAAAAAAAGTTTAAAATGGAGATTTGAAAACACTTGCTATTGCCGTGGAAAAGTTATACTCCCTGAACATAACACGTAATCACAAAAATTGAAAGATTTATTATAGCAGTGATGGTGAAATTAATAAACATTAAAGAAAAAATATTAGAATTTATAACAATAAATTTGCACTCATTTCATTTTTTAGAATGCTGATATAAATTAGGGTAGTGGTATTTTATATTCTTTATAATATTAAAGTTATAAATTATTAGCACCCAAAAAAAGATTGAAAGGTGATGGGTGAGCGAAGTAAATACGAAAAAACCTCCAAATGTTATTATTTTAAAAATTCATTGTATGAACAATTAAATATGGATGACGGATTAATAAAATTATTATTAAAGTCTGCAGTAAATTTATTAAAAATGAATAAAATGAGAGATGTTTATAAGCATGTATTTTTTTTTTTCAGAAGTTATCTAATTTTCTGAATTTACTATTCTAAAAAATATGAACTGAAGAAATCACGTCAATGATCATAACCTTCAACGAGATAACGGCTACAATGAGTAAAATACATCGAATTATAGAACAGATGTCTGGTTATTACGAGTAGATCGTTATCTTTTTCTTATTATATATATATATATATACATATTTAGGTAAATCTGCTCATTATATTTTGCTAATATATAAATTTTATCTTTAATTTTATAATTATTTATTATTCATATAATATATTTTGTACTTTTGAGTTATTTATAAATATAATTTCTACGATTTCTGTTGTTTTCAAGTTATTCGTATAATAATAATGAGAAGCGTCATTTGTGTGTCAACGTAATAAGATATAATCATCTGTTTTTTTGTATTTCCAATAAATTATTTCTAACCATTTAGGTATAAAAAGCACTCATTTTAACTGTTTATAACGGCTTATTGGTTATAGCGGGGGAAATTCGTTAGTGCTTGAAACTCATTGCAATAGATTTCTGCTATATTGTATTTATTTAATTAATCAAAAAACTTATAAACTTAGAAATTATAATTAAATGCATATTTGGTATATTTAATACGTGTTGAAACTCATTTATAATCTATACATTTTAGCGATAATTTATTAAAATTTATAATGATTAAATAAATTAATAATAAAATTATAGGATGAAGAAAATTTTGACACTTACGACAGGTATAATATACACTAATATTTTTTATATTGTCTGTAAAACAGATAAGTAATACAGATAACATTTTTTTAAATTAATATGATTTTCTCTGAGTTGAGCTGTAATTAGTTTTTTAATATTTTGAATTTTAAAATTTAAGCTCTACTAAATTCAATTTTAAGATCTTAAATTTAAGCATATACTTATATTAGTGAAATTTATATGAAATTAACGGAAAAAAAAAAATGTAAAAGCCGTTTTAAAAGTAAAATTAATAACAAATTCAAAGCTGTTTTCGGAATTTGCGTTGTATAAACTATAAAATCTGTATGTTATGGTTATTACTTAAATATTTACATTACAGTTTACTACACCGGAGTTCTTACTTATGATTCTTAAAGTGCATATCGTTCGCTTGTATGTGTACGATTTCGTCTTTTTTATACATAAAACCGACAGGGTGCATAACGGCCGATATGTTACCGGTTGCATTTACGGCTGCAACAGCGTTCGCCTGCAACCGTCGTATCCGAACGGGTAAGTATATTGTATAATATTGTTCGTTCGTTTTATTTTTTCATAATTTTAAGTACGAGATTTATTTAGTATTTATTTATTTTATAAGAATTACCGTTCGATTAGTCACTCTGATCGATCCATCAAGAGTGATGTCTACGGAAATACCGTTTTTGAATTGAAACGATATCGTACCTTGTTCGGTATTCTTAACAATATCACCATTATTACTGTTTTTCAATTTCTAAAACAAAACATAAAAAATTTACGCTTTGCAATAGCGATCAGTAGATATTTTATCAACATGCGCTTACTATAGCTGTCGTCATCACACACAATTACTTGATCAATTTAATAACAAAAAATACTACGAAAAATATAGGACAATTTCGAAATGGTTTTTGTGTGATGATCGAAACAACACATAACCATAACGATTAGTTACTGTTACTATATATTAAATAACAATAACTGTGCTAAACAATAAAATGACTGAAAAATAATCTGTTTTTTAAATAAAGCCCGCCGCTGTAAATACTTGTAAACTTCAAGGTAATTAAACATTTTTGAGATTTTTTAACATAAATTATTATGAATTCAAATTTCAAAGGACAAATTAAAAAGTTATAGACTTACAATACATTTTACATCATAAAAATACAATGTGTATACTTTAAATACATTTAAATAAAAAAAATAAATCGTTATTATTTAAATTTTTATCTTAGGTAGTTTTGTATGTGCCAAAAGGCAATAAATAATAGTAAAATATATTATACACGAATATTTAATATTGTCAACACAGTAAATTACAATCGATCCCAATTTCTATTATAAAGCCAAAAAATACTCAATATTTTTTGAAAATTATTTCATTTGTTTTAAATACCTACTAAATCAAATCACTGGTGATCAAATTCTAAAGATGTATTAAATTAAAATTTTATTACCAATACACGATGTATATTATACTTCAGAAAATTTTTTGTAATTTAATAATACAGTTACGTACTAATAATGCGCTAAAAAAAATCTATTTACCGAATTTTGAGTAAATATTAATATTAATATTAATGTTTAATATATTGGTAAACGACTTTAAATATTCATATCAATTAAAAATTTACTTAAAAAAAATCATTTCACAGTTAATCTGAAGCATTTTTTACTTCATCTGTCGTCAAATCTATCATCAAACTTAAAAATGTTTTTTTATCTTCAATATTTTTTTTTTTTTTTTAAGTATCATCTGTAACGCCATACGGTGCAGCTAAAGGTCTCTCAGTGGATTGATGGAAAACGTAAGTGTTAGACCAATTGCCTGCACCGTGACATCTCAGGCGTAATAAATTGTGAAGTTACTTACACAAGTTGTAATAATGGTTATCCGGAACGACATCTCACTACCGAAATTAACATGTTCTCGATGAAAGGTATAACCACCGTGGTACATATTATATTTAGACTTGGATACAAATTATATTAATAATAATACTCTAGTTTACAAAAACTTTCCATTATCTACTATATTTCACTGTGATAATATTACAAATTTCGGAAGTTAATAATTTTTTCAACTATACAATACTGTTAAGATTAATTACTAAAAAATAAAAATTAATAAAGTTAGTTCGTAAAAATAAATCAAACTTAAGTTAGAAGTTAGTGTTTTATATAGCTTAAAATATAAACGTATAAAATTCATTCATTTAAAATAAATGATTGATTTTTGTCTACGCAAATCGGTTTTTAACGTTTATGGACGTAAAATATCGTACGTTGCACGTATTTAAGAAAAGCCAAAATTAGAAAAAATCTTTTATCTCGATAAAATTTTATAAGGTATTCAAAAATGAGATTAATTTATGATTCATAAATATTTCAAATTTAATTTCGCATTCTACTGATAGGTATCATAATTTTTATATAAAACAGTTGTCTAATGTTTTATAAGCAAAACGGTTGGTATCAAATATTTTTAAAACTAACTCATACATTATCAATTGTAGTATATTTAAATATGTAGCTACGAATATCAATGATGTATTTAAATGACTAAATTTCTGCTTTTGGAAGTTAAAATTGTTTTATCAATCCTTGATACAATACGAGTAGGCTCCCCGACCACGTTTCTACTTCTCTTCTATTACCCTTTCTCAGTAAAATCTGAAAATGTTAAATAGAAGTACTAAATTTTCACGGTATCATAATTCTTAGGTTTATACTTAACCTATTGATTTCAATGCTTCTTGAAATACTACAACACAAAAATGTGAATCGTAAATTTTGGATTGATTTTTCTTCTTAACCTTTATCACATGAAAATTAATTTTCTCTTAGATTCGTAATTTACGCTTAAATTCCGCTTTATGCTGTCAACTTTAACCTATTAGCAATATTTGTAAATTTTTAGAAATCAGTTGTAAAATATTGACACTACATGTCGCAAACTCAAGGTAGGGATGTTAATTTCCCAAATATCGTGGGACGCATATACAATATATAATTCTAAATTTCTTGTTTATGCGACAATTTTTTTGTTTTTTTCAATCCAATTTATGTCGTACTCAAGACTGAAGGTTCTTTTACTTGTCATGCGTTTACGTTAATGTCGACGGAATGATGACACGATGTTGTCTCACCAGCAGACGGCAAACCGCCAAACTAGCAATTCGTAATATAATATATCGTATAGTGGTCAGTGGATAGGATTGCGAACGCTTTGAGGCCAACACACCATACACGGGACCCTGTGCGTTTCGGTGTTGGCATACAAATGCAGAGGAAGGGGGAGGCTAAGAACAAAAACAAAAAACTCGAATAATTAGATTTATTAAATTATTTAATAACACGCGATATTGATGCAGAGTGCATTCGGTATATTACTATTTACTAACCACTACGCAGTGTGTACGTATATAATATATATTAATTAAAGTTTGGTGGCTTGGTGCAAGAAGGGCCAATGCAAATAAAGAAAGTTGTTAGGCCATTTCATTTTAAAAAAGGTGAATAAAAAAAAATAAAAAATAAAAACAGTTAGGAATATCATGTATTGGATTTTCTAAGACTTAATTTGTCTTTCAATCTTAATTTAATGTTATTTTGCCAAACTACAAAAATCTATTAATTTGATTTGGCTGTTAGCCTTTTTGATGAATAATAAATATTATTAATACCTGGCATTAGCCAAACATAAGAATAAACGAAAAACACATTTTTAATAATTAAAATACTTAAATAACTATTCATTTTTTTTTTTTATCGTGACCCAATAATTGTATCAAATTGCACATAATTTCTAAACTTATTCTGATAAACTTTTATTTATTTAATAAAAAATTCACTAAGAAAAATAAATATCCTAACATTTGTAATGTTACTTAATTAAAATTAACTTAACTTTTTTTCTAGTCTTGAATTTTTTTTTCAAATTAAATTTACAATTTCTATTTAGTTGCACAATGAACAATGCAATACAGAAATGCATGCATTGATACATATAAGGTAATAAAACAATTAAAAAAAAAAGTTAACAATTAACTATACGTAACATATGAATTATTTGTAGAAAGCAGCTGCCCATTAGCAAAACTTTCAGATAACAAATAACTTTGTAACAATTTAAAACATGAATAAATAAAAAATGTACGATTACAGTAAAATATTTTTTATTTATATCACAGTCAAGTTTGTGAACGATGACTGCAATGTTTTTGGTTATAATGCCTTTACAATTTTCATCAACCGTGCAATGTATAATCAAATATGTGTTAAATTTTGTTCATGAGTGATACTTAAAACTTCAATTTCATAAACTTACAATACTTAACAGGGTTATTTTTATTAAACGTAAAATTCTCATTATTTTAAAAACATAAACGTTTTTAAAAATATTTCTTTTACACAATTACAGTATATCGATAAAAAACACATTTTTGGAATAAATTATATTTTTAGCATTTTATTATCATAATTTTTGATGTGTTTTTTTTTACTATTTTGAATGACAGTGATAATTTTTAATTTCATGTTTTTAAGCAAAATATTATTTAGAGTATTAAGATCTAAATAAATCAAATGTTAGACAAGTATAATTTATTAGTCATAAATAAAGCTTAAATGAGCTGAGTAATGGACCAATATTTTGCAGGGTACTTATGTACCACTCCACTCCACTCGTTATCATCACATAAAATTCTTAAAATTCATACATTTAATGATTATTGAAGTACGCAAAAAAATATTCAATTTTGGAATAAAGAATTAAAAATGTATATAAGTATATAACGATTGAAAAAGTAAACACTTTAAAAATGAAAATGATAAAAAAAATGTTGTATTTTAACAACTTAAAATAATATGAAATATATTTTCAAAAGTTTTAATAATATTTTAAACAATAAGTGTTTTACGTTGAATGGATTACTTGGTATTTATGTTTTTTTTTTTTTTTATATTTATTTATTTAACTTGTTTTTTTTTCTTGGCGGTACACTCACCATAGACCCGCGTACGCTCATCGTCGTAACAATCGGCATTGATGATAGCATAGGTGTTTACTATAATATAATAATAATATTAATATATGTGCATATATAGGTACTTCCACATATATATAAATTATAAACCTATTTTGAAACAGTCTAGTAGGCATGTCGCTGAAGTGTGTTTCGAGACCATATTTGGCCGTGTCGGATATATAACTGTGTGCCCGGACTTGGTGCAGTATTCAGCATAATATTATAATATATACATTCACATCGGTACGACTTACATGTGTAGTACTATTAAATATTTTGTAATGACGTAGGAAAGTGGGTGTCGTTGTAGCACGTGCACAGCATTGCAAGCAAGGTAATTGTTAATTGAGTATAAGTGCAATTCAAGTATATAGTGTATAGAAGTATAAAGAATACGAATTGTATTTATTTTTATCATGTAATCAAGTATTAACTACCTACTACATTATATTTATTTTAAATTATTACCAGTAAAAATGTTAACCTTAATATATTTTACAAGATTCCTAAAAATATTTTGCATTTAATTATGAAATATAGGGTTTCCAAAAATAGTTTATAAATTATGAGTAGATAGATTCATAAACTTATCTGTACAAAAATCTTTTTTTCGGAAAATAAGAAATTTAACTTGGAAATATAGTGTTAGTACACGGTAGCCAATCAACAGGATCTTCTTATATATCAGAAATAGAATAATGATATGATAATACTTGGTAATTGTTCTATAGGTACTAAAAATCATTCCGAAGAAAATTATGCCATTATGAGAAATCTTCATTACAAATCTAAAAGATTAAAACGTTACACATCGTGGTGGATTATTTTCGAAAACCAATTTACGGTTAAATTTGTGTATTTATTTGAAAACTGGACGCTTCCACTCGGTGCTGCTTTTAGTTCATATTATACAAATAATTATAATATTTATATATATATATACATTATTATTATTGTAAACATTAGGCTGTGACGGTGGTCGTCCGTGGAATTGCGTCAAAAATTACACACTCGAGTGAGTGTTTCTAAGTCGGTTTCTTGGTGTGAGTCCGCCGTGTGTGCGTGCGCGTCCCGTGAGAGTCATAGCTACAGTCACCGCCGCCGCCGCCGCGAAGGATTTATTTTTAAATCTCCCGCCGCCTCCGTCTCGCAGCGGCCATCAAAACATCCCAAAGCCACGCGACTTTGGCGGGTCGACGACAAACGTACACGGCTGCTCCTCAGTGTCGCACCAGCAGTAGCTACAGCAACAACAAAAACAACGACGGCAACACCTACTCACTGTTCTCGTCCAAAGACAATCGAAATACTAAAGAAAATTTTAATTAGCGTCGTGTTTTTCACACTCATTTATAACAACTTTTGGACGGTACACGCAGCACGCGCCCGCAAACGCATCATCAGAATAATATAAAACCGTATCGATTTCGTATTTATTTATTTATTTATTGTTTTTTTAGTAAATTTTCTTTCAAAACTACACCGGTCGCGTTCGACCGCGTACGGTATAATATAATAAATAGAATTTTTAAATTTTGCGACGGCGATTTCGACAAGGTTTTAATAGCTGCAACGCCGTCGTCAGCAGTCAGCAGAGATCCGGCCGGAACCGAACACAGACCGCTCCACGTGTCTTACCGGTACGTATATTATGTAATTAAATGAAATCATAAATTATTGTTATAATCAAATCTCGTAACCAAAACTGTAGACTGATCAAAATTGATTGGTTTACGGATTTGTGGTTTTAGTTAAATTCGGTAAAAGCAATAATTGGAGTGGGACAAGTACAGTGTTTATTCCAGACCTTCTATCCCGGGGGGGAAGGATATGGTACATTTTCAAGGGGGTACAATAAGATAATAAGATAAAAGCAAACAATTATTTTATTGTGGGTTGGCGTAGTACTCTTACATTTTTTTTCGGGGTGAGGGAGGGCAATAGCCCCCTTAATAGGTTTGGTTCTTCAAATTTAATTTGACATTTTATCTGTATGGTTACCGTGGTAAGCCAGTAAATCATATTATACAACTATTCGTTTGCACACGTTTTAAAAGTCATTAGAAAGAAGTTATACGTATTAGATAATAGGTACTAAAAACAGATAAGGAAAGAAATGTATGAAGAATGCGAGAATTATTGTATTAATATAGTATACGCTAAAGGCATATTAACCGTTACTGCAGTTATTGTGTGTTTCATGATTTACGTGTTATACGTCTACATAGGTATGTACAACTAAGCTTTAATACAATAACTTGTGTTTTGAGTTATCATGTTATGTACAGAATGAATCATAAACTTAACAATATCTTACAAAAATAGGAAGAATATTTAAATATTTAAATATTGTAAACACTTATTTATGAAAAATTTAAATTATAACATGTTCTTGAAAATGATGTCAGAGCATTGTTTTTTCTCAATAGCCCTAGCCCACGCACAACACAGACAAAACGTATTCACGGAAAATCATATTTTTTCGTTTGTATATTATTGAAATTAATTTTAAAGTAAAAATATAGACAATAATAATGTTGAAAGTATGACATATCGATTTAAAAAATTTATTTTTATTTTTAAAATCAAATAAAGATTCAAGTAGAAAACCTATATGTCAAACTCTCAAAAATATTATCCTCTATAATTTTTTTAATTGGTTATTTTATTCTAAGATTACTAAAAATTATAAAAACGATTTTACGCGATAAGATTTTTTTATCTATGTTGCGCGTGAGTTTAGAATAGAAAATAAATATACGCTGACATCCTCTTGAGTTAAAAAAAATTTTTACTTTGTGTCATCTAACAGTATACTAACAAATAAAAATAATCACTCTGTATATTATATTTATATTTAATACTTTTACATTCAGAAGTAACCATATCGGTACGAATGGTGCGCGTGTTTCCTATCGAAGAATTATTTCTACGGTAACCAATAACCATATATATATATATATATACATGTATTAAGTGTATAATTATATATTAATACAGCATACGCGTACAATATATATTTTAACGTCGACCTCGGATCACCAATAATATGAAACCATGAATAGACATATCATGACCAATACGCTAAATATTAACGCTACGTCGCTACGTACTTCTGTTTAGGAATTGTCAAGACGTATTCGCGTCCATATATGGACAATAATATTATACACCAAACGCTCTATGGATTTAGTTGACGGGTTTGTGCTGCACATTGCGTCACGCATAATATATTTTCGTTTGGGCATATAAATAACATTAACAACATTGTATACAGCGCCACACCATAGGTACACATTTAGTCTTATGTAGTGAGTAATGTGCGGGGAAATCGCTTACCCCCGTAACTACCGAACAAAACATTTTTTTTTTTCGGTGTAATAGTAATTTCTTTGTTTTTAATCAAAATACAAATTAATAATAAATAGTTATTTATTATATAACATATATTAATCTTATAAATTATAATAATATGATACTCGTTGTATGAGTTTTAAAGATTAAAGATGTACCCTCCTGGAGATAACAGTCCCTATTCGTACAATATATTATACAATTAATATTTATAATTCGTATGATATACATTATATATTTATATAAAACACATGTAGATAACTAAGCATCCATTGCAGCCTAATCGAATGTCGGAAGACCATAATAAATTATTTACGAAAGAAAAGTTTTTTTAATTAAACTCACTAAAATCACTCTCGGAAAATAATAATTTTATCACGTTTTTTTTATTTCAGAAGTGTCAGTAGGTACACAATAAATAATAAAAAATTCGCCGCTAGAATGCTATCTGTCCGTTTGTCTTCTATACATAGTGACAATTATCGCGTTTTTACTTTAAGATACAATAATCATCACGGTTTTTTCATTTTGTCTATATTTAACAAAATATGAATACTGTGATACACCATCCGTTTACAGTTGTAGATTATTATTATATAACTAAATATTAATGGTGGATAATACCTACTTGAGGCTGATGAATTAACATGCAATTAACTAAATTAACATAATAATATTATTGTGAAGTAGATACTACTCGACGAGACAACGCTGAAACTAACCTATATAACGATATTAATATATTATAATCGCTTATTGATGATAACGCTGTAATAAAATATTCACGATTTATCTAAATAACATGGTATTATTATGATATAAGATATATTTTGTCAAACTAAACACATAAAAATTCATAAAATCATTTAATTTATTATGAATATAAAGTTACTAAATTTATGATATGTGTCCTAGAAACTATTCTTTAAATGAAAACTCTCCTTTATATTGTAATTCATTTAGTATACAATGTTTTCAAAAATGTTGATGTACATAATATAATTTAAAATTTGAACGAGTAGTTTCTCAATTATTAAAATATTTTTACTGAGTATAATAGTCTATAAAAATATAAAATACACATAACGTTGAATTAAGTATTCATAGAAGTAGTAAACACACTTTGTTCTTAAAAGACTTGCAACATTTTTACAAATTAATATTGTTTATAAATTATCGTTAATTATTAAAATGCTTTAATCACCATAGTCCTCATATTTTCTAAGTAAATTATAATTGACCACTTATTTGTAGTGTACATAAAGTTATATAACCCAAGAACAACTTCTTCAAATTCTGATTTTGATATTCAAAATTATCTGCTAATAATTTACAGTAGAATGAAGTTATGTTTCCATAAAAACTTTTTAAGTATTATAAACAATTTCAAGAATTGGAAAATTTGGTCTTAAAGTATATTTAAAAAATTCAATAATTATATTTTGAATAATTGCAATATTGAAGTTTTTCTTCTTTTTTTGGGAGTGAACATGCTTGGCGGATCTCTCTATGTTTAGTTACTACAGTGTATTTTACATATTTTATGTATTTGCTGTATTGTTTATTATTAGTTAGGTATATAAACTGTATTTTTGATTTTTCTTGTTACTTAATTTGAATTTTACTGTACTTTGGAATAATGCGTGCTTAAATAATTTTCCTATAACTATCCTAATAATTCGTTTTTCGTTGGAAATTGGTGTACAGATTAAAATCATCTCTGACACTTTTTTATTTTTCAGTATTATAATATGTGTCTCACATTTATTACATTATGATTATAAGAATTTATGAATTTATACAATATAATATATAATAATTATTGTATTTAATTATAATTTAAACTATAATTAGGTCTTCGACAGTTGATATTCTGTAGGAATTGTATTTTGCTGTAGTGTTATAATAAGGAAATATATTCATAAATCGTTGGAAGTCTTAAACGGTCAAAACTTATCGTTTATCAATCGTGTGGGATGTATTTTTGTTTACGAGCGCATATTAACTAATCACCGAATATATTATGGGAATCGAGTGTTTTCTTTAAAACAAGATAATTTAATATATTACCTTTACATAAACACTTGTTTACACAATATGGCTGCTGTTTATTTAACACATGTTTGTGTTAAAACGAATTGACGCTTTAAGTATTTGTAATACTAAAAAAAAAAAAATGTATCAATAAAATAGTGATAACTTTTTTTTTCTCTATATTTTATGGAGTCATGTGAAACGCACAAACGTCGTATATACGTCCTTTTATTTACAAATACATTTATAATTATATTTATATATATTTATATAACGAAAGTTTTTTTCACCCGCCGATCAGTCATATATGGGTAGGCATTAAAGTGTTAAGAGTTAAGCAAATCATTTCGAAATTAATCGATTAAACACTTTAAACCGTTTTTATCAATCTATAATAATAATAATAAAAATTTTCACAAACTTGTGACTCTATGAATTAATATTATCGAAATATTAATATTATTTAAATTTAATTACAAATATTTGATTTTACTGTCAGTTATATTATATTAATTAAAAACTATGTTATAGTTCTGTTATGGATTTATATTATGAATTAAAATGCATTTTTGCATGACTCAATTTATATAATTTCAGTTTAATACATGAAACACTAGCAAAATATTGTTTTAATGACCTGTGTGGACTGTGTGATATCTAATTTATTTAATATGGTTAAAGTTCGTTTAAATATTTGGTTTAATCGATGCAAAATCTCTCGGCTGACTATAGAACCGTTTTCGTATGTTTCCTAATTTTATGAGCAATATGCATGCAAATCAAATTATAAAACTAAAGCTAAAAAAATATAAATTAGATTAAAAACTCAAAAAATACCAAAAAGTGTTTAAAAAAAAGTACAGAACGTAAATAAATATAAACGTCGTGTAATCGGTGTTATTCAGTATTCATCAAAGTAAATTTATTATTATTGACTATTGAAAGAAAATCCAGTATTGACAAAAATAGATGTTCTAAATTAAAAAAAAAAAACTTATTGCGTTATATATGAGTACATAACAAAGTAGTATTAGCGATTTGAAATGTGGCCAAAACTTGCATTACCTTAACCTCCTTTGTCTACCAAAATCTCGCGATTAGATTCATGAACGTTCGTTATTCAAAAAAAAAAAATAATAAATAACAAATTTCACATCATACAAAAAGCGTGAATCTCGAAATTTTAAATTTACTGTATTCGTATAAACCAGTTTATTCCTTTGGTACGTTTACATTTGTAAATTTAATATTCAGTCGAATCTTAGACCGTAATATTCGTAAAAATAATGAAATATTATTAAATGTGTTAATGTTAACGAAAAAAAAAAAAAAATTAATCAAAATAAAATTTATAAAAAAAAATAATAAGCCCACAATTATCTTTAAAAATGGTTTTTCATATTTTATAAAATAATATAAATTTAAAAACATGTAATACAAAATCCGAAAAAATGTCAGCCCTTTTGGAATATTATTATTTTTAGTTGGAATTATCTGATTGCGTTAAGACTAACTGCACCATTAATGGTAAAATTCAGTTATTGCTCCATATTAAAGAATCGTGGATGTTTATGAGTTTATGACACTTTCATATTTTTTGGAATCTAAAATTGTTTTAAAAACATTGAAAACAAATAAATTTTAATTAAATTACAAATAAAATAGAGTAAAAAAATAAAATTTACGTAAAATTAATGTTTTAAAATAATTTAAATAATTAAAAGTTAAAATTTAAATCTAAATCTAAGAGTTGGAAGTGAACTGATTTTAAGGAATTTAGTATAGGCAACATTACGTACGTAAATGCGCGATGTGCGAGCGTGGGTGTGAAGGATATAAATGCTGTAAATAATAATTTAAGTGGAACAAGGTTTATCGAACACACAGCTGTTTATTAGGGACACCTCTCTTAATGGATAAAACAGATAAGATCTCTACAATATTTTGACTTATTTTGACCTGTCTATAATGGCCTCTTTATATGAACAGGCTGTAATATTTCGCACAATTTCAATGGCATGTTAACGAGCAGTATTAGTTCAAATTCAAATTTAATTAGCGAAGTCCAAAAATGATTCGTAAATTTTAACTAATATATAGTTAAAATATTATATATAAAGTACGACCAATCGTATTTTATACAAAAATTAACGCCATTATAATATTATGTATAAAATGTAAGACGTATTAAAAAAATAATTTGCAATTATAATTTTTCTATTATAACATAATATTTATTTTTATTTATTAGTATTAATTATTTAATAATATTGTTAATATATATATAATAATAAAAATCATAAAAATTATAGATAATAATATTATGTACGTATGTGTTGTTTTTATACATTTCAATAAAACATTTTCATTTTATATTATGTGCATATAAATTTTACAATAAAAACTGTTTATATAATGAACACCTGTCTATTAAGGACGCATTATTGATAGTTTCGTGAGTGTCCGCAATAGACAAGTTTCATTAAATAATAATAATAATAATAGTAATAATATGATCATTAGTGTGTCCCAACTTTCAACCAACCCATAATACTTCGTAAGTCATCAACAATGTGTATAAAACTAAAAATATATTTTGTTCTAGCATGACCATGAAAAATGAATAGTGGGACAAAAATTCACCTTGTTTCGGTTATATAATTCTTATTTTAAAATAAATTAATATGATTTTTGTCATAGACACGTAGGTGGTAAACGTTATTCAAGAAAATTAAAGTTTTCGGAAAAAAATAAATATTTGAAATATAGATAGGTACTACACTTTCTCTCCACCCCTTCTTAAGGATCACAATTTGATTTAAAATTTGAAATCGTACTTTTAAAACTATATTTGGGTTAGTGTACCACGCTACTAATTTATTAGCAAACATAATAAACAATTTAAATTTGATATTATTAAACCGTATATTGTAAAAATAAGTATTCCTGATGTGAAATTTCGTTTTTTATTACGGGATCGTAAAAACTATATTATCTACTAAACCGCTCATGAGTACATTCAAATTTGACGAACTTGACAACTACTAATAAACGCGAAATAAAAACACCCTGTTAGTTTTGTTAGGATATTATTTAATGTAAAAACATTCAAAGAAACGTTTAAATTCAAATCTATTCGTACAAGTGGTGAATTGTGTACTATAATAATACTACATAGTTTTAAAATTATTGAGTCCGGAGTAAGGGTGTCTTAGCCATTTCGGCATTTATGAAGAGGTGCAAAGTAGAAAAACTTCTAATTACGTAGCGTAGCAGCTAAACACATTTTAAGCATTCAGACTCTAAGGGAAGTCCTCCGTTGTCCATATTTAATGTATTTAATTGTAATCCCGCTTTTCATTCAAGATGAGTTTTAAATACACCAGTCAAACAATATTACAAACATTTTTAACGGAAAACATAAAGATTCTTATCGTCTATATGTTTATAGATTATAAGCTTTATTAGAAACACTGTAAATTACCATAGAAACAATAATTTATTAATTTTGTTTTTCAATAATATTTAATGGATTAAAAGAATTAAAATAAATGTAGAAAAAAAAGTTATCTACTTATTACTTTCTTCATTTGAGAGAGTTTATTAGTAATTGTGGATTTAAGTTCTTCCTAAGACCCTCTTATTTGTGTAAATGCTATGCAGTGTCGAATCTACGTAATCGGTGTGACTGTGAAAACTACCGATCCCCTTGGTTGTTTTTATTATGTTAGCTGACGAAGTATCCTATTGGCGCTCAATGTGTAGTATTTTTACGTACATAATTATAATGGTTTTTAATGTCGTAATTCGTTATTTTAATATATCTCACATCCCAACACACCACCATAACAATATATATTTATAATATATGTTGTACTAAGGGGAACAAAACAAAATGGGCGCCAAATTTTTTATTTTTGTAAATGTACCTAGGTACTTAAAAAAATAAAAAACATATAAATAATAATATTATTAGGTCTATTACAAGAATACTAACGTGGAGGCTAAACGAAACAAGAAAAAATTATCAATAACAGTGCGCATATCCAAAATTAAAATAATGTAAAAATGTCATAAAAAATATTTTATTATTATTATTATGGTTCAATAATATTTTAGATTCTGAGCGGAGCGATGAATGTATGGATTTTATTTTATTTCATTTCATTTCATTTTGTATATTTTTCATCACTTTTTAGGACTGTAAAAAGACTTAGCATTTCAATTTTGTGCGCAATTTCTGATAGCAAGAGTAGTATTTATAACTGTTACTTTTGGAAGGGTAAATTTGAAAATGCTTATAGTATCTATATTTTTTAAAACAATCTGTTAAAATTCAAACATTTGTTAAAATTACAATATATTTATTAAAATAATTGTTTGATAATCTTGGTCAGGATTGTTGACTAAGTGATTTCGATTTTTATTTTTATTTGATGTCAATAAAAAATTCTAGGCTCAGTTAAAAGTTTAATAATTTAATAGAAAGTTTTTTTATAAATTGTTAATGTAATTAAAAAACAAAAACTGTATTTTAAATACACAATAATGTTTTACGAATTTTTATTGATAAAATTACGAATTTCGTCAAAATTGTAAAAATTGTAAAATTATTTCGTAGTTAAATATTTTCAAGATTTTTAATATTTATGCATAAGGTTTGAAAAATTGATCAAAGGTCCCTTTTAAAGTTAAGTGGTTTCTCACTAAAATTACAAAAAATAATTAACAAATATTTTTTATTAAATATAAAATCAATTAATTGAAAATATCAATATCAATAACATAAAGTATAATATTATATAATATAAGCTGTTTTCGTTCAGAATTATTTAACACATATATTCATATAATATATTACAGTGATTTATCCAATAGGTACCTACGGAGTGGTAAAGCGTTTATCTATTTTCAATCATTTTTTCCTGTGCAAAAATTAAAAAATAGTAAAAAGAATATTGCATTATAAATTAAAAATATATAGTTAAATGACGTATGAATGTTCTAATATATATATAAAGTTCAGTTGTACAGATGTAATTTAACTAGGTAAATAATTAAATATGTATAATTGTATAAAAATAGTATATTGGTATGTAATACGTTTTGTATTAATATCACGAAAAATGTAATGGTATAATACAATATGAAAATACTTTTAGGTAGGTACAACAATATTATGAATATACTGTCTTCCGACGTTATAGGCTGTTAGCCAGAGATTCCCAATCAAGGTGCCGCGAAATTATTTGAAATATATTTTTTTAAATGTAATATGTTTATACAGCATTATAGTATTTACCTACACCTTACTAATTTTGTTTGTACTTATGCACTGATAAATAAAACCGAAGTAGTCTATAGGGCCTAGGGTGCCTACAGATTCTTAGAAAATAACTGAGGGTGCCGCGAGTAAAAAAAAGTTTGGGAATCTTTGCTGTAAGCTGCAGTTGGTAGTTAAAGACATTGGAATAGAGCTTAATATTATAGTAGATTCTAGAGTATATCACGACGTGTAAATTCATGCCGATTGTGTGATTTTGCCATATTTACTGCTAGGTAGGAAAAACGCGATATACCTATTAGGAAATAATAGTTAGTGGGAGGAAATACATTTGCCTGCATAGTCCCTCGGTGTTATGTCACAACGCCTTAGCTAGCCAAATAAAAAAAAAAAACCTATGTATACTTTGTATAGTATTAGTTCACTCTTAATATTTTTCGTAAACATAATATTAATTCCTCCGCGGCAGCAGAGAATGCAAAACGCGACAACAACAATTATTATCGTGTCTTTGTATTGTTATTATTTATTATTATTATTAATATTCGATTACATCACAGGTACGCCACCGGCAGAGGGCGCGGTTCACGCAGCCCGACGGCGACGACGATCATCACCACCACCACCACCACCACCGCCACCGACGAGACCCAACGACAGTCGGTGTCGTTTTTTTTTCGAATATAATAATAATATAATATAATATAATACCTACCTAAACGAATTATTTGTTTCGCGTGTCTACGTCGAAATCTCGTAATCACATCGTACACACGCACAGGCGCTGCGCACGCCCGCACACCTCACACCAACACTAGCGCACGCGCACGCACACAAGCGCGAAACCGGTATGTCAGCTGTGGCGGCAGTGGCGGCGGCGTCGGCGGCGGCGACCGCGACGGACGACCCGGACGGATACGAAGCCGGCAGTCAGGAGGACGACATGGGAGCCGCCGAACGGGACTTGGCCGAGGACGCGCGCTGGAAGCTTATCCAGCAGAACACGTTTACCCGGTGGGCCAACGAACACCTGAAGACGGCCGGTAAGGCCATCGGCAATCTGGAAACGGACTTGGGCGACGGGCTCCGGTTGATCGCACTCATCGAGGTGCTCAGCGGCAAGCGATTGCCCAAGCACAACAAACGGCCCACGTTCCGGTCGCAGAAGCTGGAGAACGTGTCCGTGGCGCTCAAGTTCCTCGACGACGAGAACATAAAGCTGGTCAACATAGGTATGTACGGCACGACAATATAGTAATAATAACACATACGCATATTCCGTAGGCACTCGAGCGTAAACAAATATTTGCCTTTGTCCGGACGCATTTTTTTTTTTTTTTATAAAATGAGAATTTGGCAGTAGGATTTAGTCTTAAACTTTTAGCGATTTGAAATTTGTTGGGGGTTCTGCGGATTTCGTATTAAAAATACACTATAGTTGGTGTCGGGTTTTAATCAAAAGTGCATTATTTTTTTGGGTGCTCCGGGATAATGCTTCCCAGTATGTAATTCGTTTTATGTATCAGATTTTTCAAAGGTGAAACTTTAGTTTTTAATATTTTCGGGTCATCTTATTCATTTAATACATATATATATAAAATCATGTACTAGGTGTCTATGTCCAAGTATTTAAAGTAATTTAAGAATTTTAAAATATTATTTTTATATTAGTTTTTAATTATTTTTCGTCTGTACCAAATAATTCTAATCGTTCTATCACATAATATGAATATAGTAACTTTTTCATCTATCTCCAGCAATTATCGGATATAGTATCTTATAACGGAACTCAAATAAAATTGGTCAATTAGAGATGGATAAATAATTAGTTAAGTTGAGTATCAAGTAAATAATCCGAAAATTAATCCATCGTTATTCTATCACTTGCATGCCTTTGCGTTGGTTTATTTTTTAAAGACATTATTGTATTAAAAAGGCAATTCTTATGAAATTTTTTTTTTCAAAATTACGAAAATCATTAATTAATACCCTATGAAATACTTTTATTATTACTGATATTATACATACATAACTATTCCAGCTGACAGTCTTAAGTATTATAATATTATTATTTTGATATACTTAAGTATATACGTACTTAAAGTATGTTGATATTGTTATTATAATATAGGTAGAAAATATAATAATTATGAGATAGGTACATTTACTTAGATTTAATTTTGTAGGTAACGAGTTAGTTAAATGCAAGGTAATACTACACGTTGACTACGATTCAATCACGGTAATGATTTTCGTCAAAATTTCGCATTTATATAAAACACCTCGAAAACTAATCTATCTGTATACAAATTTAATATTTAATTAACCTACTTTTGATTTCAATTGTCCACTACAACATGAAATTCGATAATATTATTGTACATTATTAAAGCTATGATGTCGCTCTGTTGTACATTTCGTGTGTACCTCATCATTGAGTAGGTCACAGTAATTTTGTAAATTTTAAATCAATGACAAATGATTGTGTACAAAAAATGATTCTTTCTATTTATCGTTTAAATATTAAATTTCGTAAAATTTTTAACTAAAATGCCTATAAAAGTTGATTTTGTCAAAACTCGGTGTTGCGTAAATTTTACTACTTTTCAGTATTTTTTCTTTTTATCGATTGCAATATATCTATTGATCCGTTTAAAATTTAAAACATGTTTACTGATATGTTAGCATATTGTACTATAATCTATAATACAAATAGCCTTGTTAAAAAGTCCCACAATCCCGTTAATTTTTCGCGATGTATCAAACATAAGCAGTGTCAAGGTCTGCTCGATGCCTATTATTAGGTATATCCAAGATTAACATCATGTAACCGCTATCCTTAAAAATGGGGCAAGGATTTTTTTATGTTAACCCTAGTAATTTATACTTACTATTGTGTTCTAAATATTGATGCTTATATAATTTTAAAATTAAAAATACGAGTTTATATTTAAAAAATAGTATATTATAGTTAATTAAATGGTTGATTTCATGGACAATTTAATTTTTATTAAAATAACTTGTAGACAATGATTTTAATATATAACTCAAATTATTTTACTATAATACTTTTGGTAATTATTTCGAATTTTAAGCCATGTGTTTTTTTGATTAATAAGAATTTGACTAAATTAATTATTGTTATTCTTTGTACATTTACTGGGTATATAATTTATTGTTTTCTGCTTTCTCAGTTTCACAATTGTAATACATAAGATATATTTATAAAAATACGTAATTTATTTAAAAATATATCAGACAATAACATACAAATTTAAAAAATACTTTGAATAATTAATAAGACATAATATAATGTCCTAACTTAATAAATACTAAATTAATGCAATTTATGTAAGAATAAGCAATTCAAATTTTCAAACTTTAATTTACGATCTTATGAAACGCATTTTGAACTTATCCATCATACTATGTAGGTACCGTTGACCAGAAAAATATGCAAATGAGCAAATGTTTATGAAAGTCCTTGCTCTAATTAATAACATAGGTGAATACACATAAAAATTTGTTTGTACGCCCGTGTACGACGCACGTATTAGTTGATACACGTATTAAAATGTTAATGAGTACACTAATCATACTAGCTATTTTTTTTCTAAATTCATTTTATATTTTTGTCTAAAAATATATTCAGCACGAGAATTTGACATAGGAAATATTACAGTATTAATGAAATATGTCAGCCGTCAGCGAAACGAATTACTTATGGATTATGCAGGTCATTTTAAGGGCGTGTTACAAATCATTGGTGTTAAATGCTAACGGTTAACTTTAAACTCTTTTAAAATTACCCATCTTTATGTTAAATTATTTATGTATACGATAATATTTATATTATCAATTAATATGCTTTTAAAAATTATTATCAAAAATCCCGACGTTTACACTTGTGCGTGATTTTGTATTTGCAATACTTTTAAATATACATTAACGTGTTTGTTGTTTTTATCAAGAGTTCAAACATTGTTTTTAAAACAAATCATAGTGCACATTTTTATGTATATTTATACCACTATTGAAACGTGGCGTATAATATGTCTTTCCTTACTGTTAAAATCATATAATCACGTAGATATGTAGGTATATACAGTATGATTTTGTTAACTTAAAATAATGGTTATTGCAGTCGATTTTTGCGTTTTATAATAACATATAGGGAACTAGTAATATAAAATTAAATTTTTCATTTCTTTTATTGCTTTGATTAGATTTTTTATTTTAATGATGCGATAGAAATACCTATATTTAATTTGTAATTTCATATATTGAAGAAAAATGTTTTATTTTTAAGTATCAACCTATAAACAGTATAATTATTATTTCTGTGTTTTTATTTATAAGCCTTCATAAAATTTAGAAAAGATGTATGAAGTGACCGTGTAAAGCATTCCACAGTTCAGTTTCACTTCTCCAAAGGTGTAGGCTTTTTTTAAGGTAGTCATAGTTCATTTTTTTAAAAAAATTATTTGTTATTTGGACGTTGATATTTTTAGAAAAGCGTACTGATCATCAGGAGTGTGGCAAAATGTATTTACAAATATAAAACTAAACAGGTACAAAAATTGTTTTGTTTTTCAAAAAAAAACTATTTTAAATAGTATAAACTACACAGGGGCGTACCTAGAATTTTTTCAAATGGGGTCCAAATTTTTTAACATTTAAAAAGTATAAAACAAATTATGTCAATAAAAAAACAACAAACATTCAGATTCATGAACTTTTAAATTGCTTAAAAAAATTAGTATAAAATAAGTATAAGTATGATTAAAATTAAACAATGTGTAAATACTGTCAATTGATGAGAGGGTCGAGATCCGAACCCCCTTCCCCCTATGGTGTGTGCCTTTAAAACCATCCATATATTTATGAGTCTAAAATGTGGTACTAAGTGACATACTGGAATTAATGACCAAAACAATATGTGTCGCTTGTATAATCAGTTTTGTTACAAGCTGCGTACTTTCAGGGTTGAAAGCAAAATTCAAAATGATTAATTGTAAAATACGCAGCTAAGACTAAATTCTGCTGCAGGATTCGATAGGTTTTAAACTGGAAATACATTTAAATACCTATATTATATATGTTATAGACATAATTAATTTTTATCCTCGTAGTATTTTCATTCCTGTTATATTATAGTGAGTGGTATTGGCTATTTTTAAAGGCACTCTAAAACATCACTCTACAGGAACAAATCGATAACGAACAGCTATTAAAATTTAGCTTGTAAACCGTCGTTATCATATATCACTTATTATACATGATGTTAGTGTATGTAGGTAGTTTACGCCGAGTTTGTTTGTTTTTGCCATATTTTACGACGTCATAAAAAACCACCCAGCGCACATGCATTGATGTTTATGTTGTATACAGTTTCTCATAAGTTACGGTGTCTTCATAGGTGTATACGACCGATACTAAAGCAAGATATCGGCTATACTATTCTGCGCTAGATCACAAATAAACATTTGCCTTTTTCGTAAAATCGATTGGAGAAAATGTCATATCGTAAACGCCGCCATAATAAATTAATGAATAATACTGCAAATGCATTTTTGTAGATGTTATAAATTGATAAGCGATGTTTTAATTTATAATCTTTTATTGTTAATGATTAATTATTATGTATGTTTATATTTAATACTATTCGGTGTGGTGTAGGTCGCCATTCAAAGATTTTCTATTTTTATAATTTCTCTACTAACACACGCTGTCGTCGTATACGTCGTATGTAATTCGTAAGTATAAATTTTATTTTACTCGATACTTGGTCTACAAATAAAAACACTATATTACTTCTTATTAACGTTATCGTACTATTATTTTAATAATGTATATTTTATATATTAAAATGCATGAAAATCTCACGTTGTTATAACATTGAAATGTATAAAGATAAAATCACAATATTAGTTGTACACATTTAGAACGTTTCGATGTTTAAAATCGTGCATCGTTTGCATGTTAGTATATGGAGATTGCCGTATTTAAGAATAGGCATAAATTTATGAGGTATCTATGTAATATACTGTTCATATTATACTGTTTTATGTGGTGTGAATCTTATAATATTATCATAGAGACAGGCACGCGTCGTTTAACCTGTATCGGCAGGTGCAGGTCGACAATCTATTGATCCGAGACGTAAGTGCAATCGCTTGAAATGTTTGTAAATCTATGACTTATTTTGTTTTTCATGTAGATACTTGAAATA